TTGTGATGAAATTTAAGATTTGCTGTTATTACCATGATTTGCCACACACTGTATTTTTGTTGTTGTTGTTGTTGTTTTTTGCGGTACGCGGGCCTCTCACTGTCGTGGCCTCCCCCACTGCGGAGCACAGGCTCCGGACGCGCAGGCTCAGCGGCCATGGCTCACGGGCCTAGCCGCTCCGCGGCATGTGGGATCTTCCCGGACCAGGGCACGAACCTATGTCCCCTGCATTGGCAAGTGGACTCTCAACCAGTGCGCCGCCAGGGAAGCCAGTTGTTGTTTTAAAATGGAATTTAGGCACTTCAGGAAAACAAATTAGCTCTCCTGGCTCATCTAAGCAACCTACAATTTTTCTATCTGAGGGTCAGCCTGAAGAGGTTTCAGTGGCCATGTCTGCCACCTGGGGAGATGTGAGGGTCTGACGCTGGAGCATTTCACAGGGTGTAATGCCGGCTGCTAAAATGATTTAATGGTCTTTCTTGTAGAAGGTTTTTGGAAAAAAAAAAATCAATACAAAGCCTATCTGGCAGGCTATAAATAAATTCTTTTGAGCACTACACCCACTTTATGCAAAGCACTTGTATCAGTGAGAGATTAGCAGGTTAGAAGCCTTCTGTTTAACAGAAATCTAGTTAAGAAGAATCCTTCCTGAGAGGCCCAATATTTACAAGATAGCTACGCTTAGGAAAATAAGATGAAAGGGGCCATATCAGTATTTAGTCTCAAGACCATTCTAACAATTATTTTCACATGAATTAGAGAACTGGCATCAGAAACTATCAGGTGTAAACAGATTTATCTTGTTTGCAGTAAAGGAGTACTAGGATCTACTTTTCAGGGTCAAACGGCTTTGGAGCTTTTACTTAGAAATTTTAAAAAGTACTAAGTAAAGTCAACAAGACTATATAATGGTGTTACATGTACTTAATTTAAAAAATCCACCACAATGCTATTCCATTTCAAAAAATTTAATGTTATTTATAAATTTTAATTTCTAAAATAACAAACATTTGTGACTGATTGAGGGCATGTATAGGGTTTAACTAATTAAATAAAACTAGTCTTTTTCCCAGACATTTTTTCCCCCTATTCTGTTCCATTTCACTAACCTTTAGAGTTGGAATGTTAGAGTCAGATGTATGCCTTAGTATTAGATTCTCAAGGAAAAGATTTTGAAGACTAGACAAACCCAAAAGAATAAATTACGTTTTGAGAGAGAAACAAAGCAAAACTCTATTGGCAGCTTTCATAACTCTCTTTCCCTGTGAAGAAGTAAACATAAATTAGTACACATTTCTAAAACTAACACTGTAGAATATTGTCCTGCGAGATCTTGGCCTGCCTGTCCTGTCTAATTTCACTCCAGAACAATACTGGACCTAATGGTTTGTGATTCTTATAACCTCTCTAAGAAATCTTTGCCTGCCCCAAGGTCATAAAGATATTTTTCTGTTTTCTTTTAATAGCTTTATGGTTTTAGCTTTTACATTTAAAGTTTATGATATATATCAAATTGGTTTCTATGTATGGTGTGAGGTAGGGGTAGAGGTTCTTTATTTTCATACAAACAGTTGTTCTTTCTTTTCATACAGATAAATAGTTGTTCCAGCAGCATTTGTTAAAAAGATTTTCCTTTCCCAATTGAATTGCTTTTGTGCCTTGTTGAAAGTCACTTGACCTTATATGTGTGCATATATTTTATGGATGATTTGCCTATCCTTTTGCCAATACCATACTTTCCTGATTACTGTGCCTTTAGAGTAAGTCTTTTTTTTAAAAAAATATTTATTTGGCTGTGCCGGGTCTTAGTTGTGGCACGTGGGATCTTTAGTTGTGGCGTGTGGGCTCTTCTAGCAGGCTCTTAGTTACAGTATGTGGGATCTAGTTCCCTGACCAGGGATCAAACCCGGGCCCCTTGCATTGGGAGTGTGGAGTCTTAACTACTGGACCACCAGGGAAGTCCCTAGAGTAAGACTTGATGTCAAGTAGGGTTGAATCCTCCAACTTTGCTCTTTTCCAAAACTGTTTTCGTTTTCTAAATATATTTGAAAATCAGTTGGCATTTTGATTGGTACTGAATTTATAGACCAATTAGGGAAAATGTACCATTTTACTAATACTGAACCTTTTGAATATGGCTATATCTCTCCATTCATTAGGTTTTCTTTAATTTCTCTTAGCAATATTTTATAGTTTTCAGTCTTGAACATCTTTCATTAAATTTATCCATAAGTATTTGATGGTTTTTAATGTTACAGTAAATGTTATTTTTCCTAAATTTAATTCTTAATTGTTCACTGCTAGTAGATAGAAATACAATCAATTTTTATATACTGACTTTGTATGCTGCAACACTGCTATAAAGTCATGTATCTGTTCTAGTAGTGTTCTTGTAGGACTTTCCTTAGGACTTCCTATATAGAATCAGGTCATCTGCAAATAATGACAGTTTCACATCTTCCTTTACAATATTTATGTCCCTTTTTTCTTGTCATGCTGCACTGACTGGGACCCCCAGAACAATTTTGAATAGAGGTGGTGGAAGTAGACATCTATGACTTGTTTGCAATATTAGGGGAAAATATTCCAAAATTTAACCTTTAAGTGTCATATAAGCTATAGGGTTTTTGTAGGTGTTCTTTACCAGGTTAAAGGAGTTTCTTCTACTCCTATGGTATTGAGAAGTTTTATCAAAAATGGGCATTGTATTTTGACAAACTTTTTCTGCATCTATTGAAATATTATAATTTTCTTCTTTAAATTGCTAATATGGTGAATTACATAGGCTGATTTTCATGTGTTAAATAAATTTGCATTCCTAGGATAAACCTCACTTGATCATGGAGTATTATCCTCTTTACATATTGCTGGATTCAATTTGCTAATATTTTGTTAAGGATTTTTGCATCTGTGTTCATGATAGGACTTGGCCATCAACTTTCTTCTCTTGTAATGCCCTTGTATTATTTTGGTATCAGGTTATAGTGGCCTGATAAAATGACTTCTTTCTCTATTTTCTGAAAGTTTGTGCCAGATTGTTATGATTGTTATTTCTTCCTTAAACATATGATAGTATTCAACAATTAAGCCATCTGAGCTTAGAATTTTTATTTATTTATTTATTCATTTATGGCTGCGTTGGGTCTTCGTTGCTGCACACGGGCTTTCTCTACTTGCGGTGAGCGGGGGCTACTCTTCATTGCAGTGCACAGGCTTCTCATCGCGGAGGCTTCTCTTGTTGCAGAGAACGGGCTCTAGGCATGCAGGCTTCAGTAGTTGTGGCACACGGGCTCAGTAACTGTGGCTTGCAGGCTTTAGAGTGCAGGCTCAGTAGCTGTGGCACACGGGCTTAGTTGCTCCACGCCATGTGGGATCTTCCCGGACCAGGGCGTGAACCCGTGTCCCCTTCATTGGCAGGTAGATTCTTAACCACTGTGCCACCAGGGAAGTCCCTGAGCTTAGAATTTTTGAAGTTAATTATTAATTCAATTTCTTTAACAGATTTAGGACTATTTAGATTTTCTATTTATTCTATGTCAGTTTTGTTAAATTGTGTCTTTCAAGAAATTTGTCTACGTCAGCTAGGTTGTCAAACTTACTGGCAAAAAGTTGTTCATAATATTCTTATCATCCTTATAATGTTTATAGGATCTGTAGTATGTCCCTTATTTCATTCCTGATATTGGTAATTTGCATTTTCTTCTTCCTTCTTTTTCCTTTAAACTGAAGTATAGTTGATTTATAATATTGTGTTAGTTTCACGTATACAGTATAGTGATTCAGGGTTTTTGCAGATTATATTCCATTACAGGTTATTATGAGATAATAGGTATAATTCCTTGTGCTATATAGTAAAGCTTTGTTGCTTATCTATTTTATGTATAGTAGTTTGTATCTGTTAATCCCATATCCCTAATTTGTCCCTCCCTGCCTCCTTCTCCCCTTTGGTAACCACAAGTTTGTTTTCTATGTCTGTGAGACTGTTTCTGTTTTTGTATATACATTGATTTGTATCATTTTTTAGATTCCACATATAAGTCATATTGTATAGAATTTGTCTTTCTCTGACTTATTTCACTAAGCATAATATTCACTAGGTCCATCCATGTTGCTGCAAATGGCAATATATTTTTATTTATTTATTTATTTACTCATTTACTTATGGCTGCATGGGGTCTTTGTTGCTGCGTGTGGGCTTTCCTTTCTCTAGTTGTGGCGAGCAGGGGCTACTCTTCGTTGTGGTGCACAGGCTTCTCATTGCGGAGGCTTCTCTTGTTGCGGAGCACAGGCTCTAGGCGCACGGGCTTCAGTAGTTGTGGCACATGGGCTCAGTGGTCGTGATGCGTGGGCTTAGTTGCTCCACGGCATGTGGAATCTTCCTGGACCATGGATCGAACCTGTGTCCCCTGCATTGGCAGGCAGATTCTTAACCACTGTGCTACCAGGGAAGTCCCGCAAATGGCAGTATTTCATTATTTTGTATGGCTGAGTAATATTCCTGTGTGTGTGTGTGTGTGTGTGTGTGTGTGCATGCGCGCACATGTGTGCGTGCACATCTCTCACATCTTCTTAATCCTATCATCTGTTGATGGGTACTCGGGTTGCTTCCATGGCTTGCTTATTGTAAATAGTGCTGCTATGAACAGTGGGGTGCATGTATCTTTTCGAATTGGTGTTTTCATTTTTTCTAGATATACACCCAGGAGTGGAACTGCTGGATCGCATGGTAGTTTTATTTTTAGTTTTTCAACTGAGCCCACGTGCCACAACTACTGAAGCCTGCACGCCTAGAGCCTGCGCTCCACAACAAGAGAAGCCATTGCAATGAGAAGCCCATGCACTGCAATGAAGAGTAGCCCCTGCTCGCCACAACTTGAGAAAGCCTGCACGCAGCAATGAAGACCCAACGCAGCCAATAAATAAATAAATAAATCTATTAAAATAAATAAATAAAGTAATGCAAATTTCTGCTACTCTACTGGAATCCTCTATTTACTCACCATGTTTCCTGCCTCTGCAGCCAGCCGGGCAGCATAGCGAGCTATAAGCCGGTGTTCCTCATCCAGTCGGCTAGGACTGTCCAGGACACTGCCAAGGAGATAAAAGTTCAACAGGTATCTATTAAACATCCCCTACTCTTGCTTCTCTCTCAGAAAGAACAGATGGGAGAAACACTTGTGAAAAAGAATGGTAACAAAAGAAATGGAGACCTGAATCATAGATACTAATGGTCTTCTGAGACAAAGAGGATTTAGAGAAATGACGAGGCCACGCATAACATTTCTCTTCGGCAGTATATCCCTGTTGCTCTCATACCTTCAGAGGGGACACTTCTTTTTGAATGCAAAGGCTGAGAAAAGACAGGGCATCTATAAAGCTTGAGGGAGTGATTTCCCATCAACTGTTTTAAGAAAACCTCATGACTTTTAGATATAGGTCTTGAATTCAAAAAGCCCGAAAGAAAACTAAAGCATCTTGAAAAACAGAGGGCTGAGGAAAAGTACCCTTAACACTGGCTGAGCAAAACTGAGGAACCTAAGCTAAGGCAGGCTTACAATATGGTAAAGTTGGGGAAGATGCCGTCAAACGTTCCCCTTCAGTGCCTCTTTCTCTTCTTTTACCATGCTTGTTCTACAACTGGAGCCCCATTTTAGAGTGAATTAATTTAGTTCATTGCTCTTAACAAGAGTTCCAGCATTCTAAAAATTTAGAGATCCAGTACGGTGGGACGTCAGAAAGTGCCGCACCTGAATAAAAGAAGGTTCTTGAGCAGGAGGCTAGCTCTGTGTGTATGTGCTGCTCACATGGAACTTCTTGCCGATTATGACTGACATCTTTAATTTAGCATGTGATGTCAACTGCTATTTATTTATATCAGGGCACTCCTAGATTAATCAGGACTGTGGCTATGTAATTCTTCTTTGTTTAAGTCTGACAGATGTTTTAAGGCAACAGTAATAATGATGACTAAGTGATGAGAGATGGCTGTCGTGGCTTGCTTCTACTTTGGCTCTAGGTTCTTGGAGTTCCACAAACCCCTGACTGGATTTTAACAGTATGACAAAATATGAAATATGAAAAAAATTAAAGACATGAGTTCAATATTCATCAAATCTTGTTATAATTACTGAGGGGAATCTGGGAAGGATGGAGTTTAATCAACAGAAACCTGTCTGGACTTTTCATGCATGAAATCAACTGTGTTTTTCCTAGATTTTTTTTTTTTTAAGTATCCTATATTTCTATCTCTGTGGCTAACTCTTAAGCTTAACTTGGTCTTTCCTCTAGGATGGATTTTTTTTTTTTTTTTTTTTTTTTGGGTTCGCCGGCCCCTCCCTTTTTTTGCCTCTCTCTTTTCGGAGCACAGGCTCTGGACGCGCAGGCTCAGCAGCCATGGCTCACAGGCCCAGCTGCTCCGCGGCATGTGGGATCTTCCCAGACCGGGGCACGAACCCGTGTCCCCTGCATCGGCAGGCGGAATCTCAACCACTGCGCCACCAGGGAAGCCCTAGGATGGATTTTTTAAAAATGTGCTGCTACTGTCACTGCTTTCTGGCAATGACACTTCTCAACACTATATAATTTTAGGTGTGCAAACGTCAGTCTCTAGCATATATAACCATTTTCTCAAAAGATGATCCTGTAATAAGAACATGCTACCATCAGTTGACTTTAATACTTTAGGGTCAAGACCCCAAGGTCAGGGCTGAACTATAATACTTGTGCCTTAAAGATGCTTGTCTGAAATAAAAGGACTATCTTTATCTTGTAAATAACAACAAAATGAACATTTAACAACACAAGTGGATAACTACTATGGAGGAAACGGCAGCTTAAGAAGTGGGACTTAAAGTGGCTGACCTCTGTTTTCTGGCAAGGGACACAATAGGTTTCTCTGTGCAGAAGAGCTCCTGCTTCTCCACCACATTCCATCTCCCTAGGAAGGTTAATTTTATCTGTCATTCATACCCGAGTGCGGATGACATGATTGCTTTAACTGGCTATGCTTTCAAGCCAGAAACTAGAACTTTATGTTGATGAGAGGTTTTATGGTCAATGAAAACTATGAGGGAAATTAGAAAGGTTCCTTATTCTTTTGCTTGAGCTGATTTTCATTCTCAGAATTAGTTAGCCAGGAAATTTCTGACTTCTTTGAGGGAGTACGAAGCTCAGCTCCTTAGACTATAAATCAAGAAGAGATGCAGTACTCACCCAATCCTCATGCTCTTCCAAGGCTCTTGGCCACCAATTCTTGCTCAGGGAGCCTAATCCCTAAGCCATAAGACTTGAGGATCTCAGTTAAACGTAGCATAAATCTTCCTGGGCTATCAGGTAGTAGTGTCTGTTTAACATTCTGCTGCTATATTCACCATGGAAATTTTTAATAACTTGGACAATTGCCCTTACTGATAATAAATAAGCTGTCCTGCCAGCGTTAAGAAAACTCTCTTCCTAGAGACCAAGGGGCTGGGATAGAGTGCTCAGAAATCATCTACTGGATGAGGAGACACTCTGTGATACAATGCACAATTATCAGGCAGCCCTCCTACAGAATAAGCCTATTAAACATAGTGGGGAGGGAGGAGAAGCCAACAGTCTAAGGCTTTAGAGATAGGTAAATGCCTAAAAGTAATAACGCCACTTGGTCATACTGGGAAAACTATGTGAAATGCTACGAAGTATAAGACTTAAAACAGTCCTTTTCAAGGATATACATTTTATTTTATTATTATTTTTTAATTAATTTATTTATTTTTGGCTGTGTTGGGTCTTCGTTGCTGCACGCGGGGTTTCTCTAGTTGCGGCGAGCGGGGGCTACTCTTCGTTGCGGTGTGTGGGCTTCTCACTGCGGTGGCTTCTCTTCTTGAAGAGCACGGGCTCTAGGCGCGCGGGCTTCAGTAGTTGTGGCTCGCAGGCTCTAGAGCACAGGCTCAGTAGTTGTGGCGCACGGGCTTAGTTGCTCCACGGCATGTGGGATCTTCCTGGACCAGGGCTCAAACCCGTGTCCCCTGCACTGGCAGGTGGATTCTTAACCACTGCACCATCAGGGAAGCCCCAAGGATATATATTTTAAAGTTGATTATTAATTTATTTTTCTGTTATCATGGCGAATAAGAGCTTCCCATGAAGCCATGGCATGTTAAGGGTAAAACTAAGATCAAAATTTAAGGTTCCAGCCTCTCTCATGTGTTTAAGTTTATAAAAATTATAGTTTTCTCTCTAAGAATAAGAATCTCAGGTTGTTTGGCACAGAGACTCTGCTGCTATGTAAAGGAGATTATTTAAACTTTACCTGCCATTCTCCTTGCAGAATGGTGGCAGGTGTGGGCATGGACTGGGCAGGTGGCTTTGGGTCTGCCTGAATGTAATGGCACTTTGTTTGGTATTAACTCTTTTAAAGGGTTAACTTTGCTACAGTTAGTGGTTATAGTGGTTATCAAATGTTTTTCCACCATAATCCACTGAGGGATCAGTCATATTCCCATATTAACAGTAGTTTCCAGGGAAAGAGGTATGTGGGTCTATTATAATACATATAATTATTATAATACACAGAGGTATACATAGTTTGGTAAAAGTCTCTCAGGTGACAATAACCCAATACCACTGTTGAAAATCACTGGTTTAAATAATCAACAATGATAGGTTTTGGGGAACAGATGAAGATGCAACATGTCAAGATGTAACAAGGTGATGGTGTCAAAGCCCCCAGATAAGACAGTGTGTTGACCAATCCTAAACTTTGAATGTCGACAGAAAGATTTCATTATTTAGGCAAGAATGAACAGTAAGAGTTTGCATCAAATACCTCTGTGAATACACATCTTTGGGACCGCACATTTCTCTGAGGTTTATACACTCTTTAAGTGTAATCTGAAGGAAGGGAACTCCACTTTAAAGAATTTCTGACTATATCTTTAGGTAAGTGCCTAGGTTTGGCAAGGCTCCTTCTCTTTTAGAAGCCAATGCTTTAGCAATTATTTAAACTCCGCCAAACATAGCTGGTAGCTTCTCAAGAAAAACCCCACATGCAGAGCTTTTTCCAGCTGGCAACCCCAGGTTACAGAGCTCTCCCTCCCTTTGATCAGCCCTTGGCCACCCGCCTGCTGCTGCTCTACCACTGACCGTGCACAGTGCTGCAGACGGGCCACAAAGGAGGCTATCAGCGCATGCTCATCGGCCAAGTGACTGGGTATATCCTGGCTATACTGTAACCTAGGAACAACGGAGGCAAAGACAGCAAGCGTGACACAGACACAAGCAAGAAATGAACATGGATTAAAATGGGAAAACGTCAAAGAAAAACAGAAAAGAAAATCATGATAAGAAAAACAATAAAAAACCACAATGCATAATGGAATGTGGTGCTAGACCATAGGGAATACATCACACAAATCCTTTAAACAAAAGCAATCCCTTAGAAGACAGCTTTGGCGGACTGACACTACAGCCCTTGAGAGGGAGAAACCAGGGAGGAGCCACTAAAGCGCCTTGCCCACCAGTTCTGGGCTCTGCGATGGATGCACTTTTTAGGAAATGCCCTCTGGCAGGAAAACTGAGGGAGAGTGGTTCCATTTAATCACTAAGTGGCCCCTTAATGCTTCCATAGCTTTTGTCGACATGTAAGAGTTTTCAGTGTTACCTCATAATACCAGTTAAGCCTTTTTATTTCTATAAGGACACTGCCTTTAGCATCATTCTATTTTCTCCCATAAAACTGGTACTTAAACCAAACTTGTTAGGATCATATTTAATTGTAGGACAATGATGCATATAATCTGAGTGAGGCTCTCTCTTATAGATATATGGAAGGTCCTTAAGCACATGATCTTTTTTTTTTTAACTTTCTACTATAGAAGTATTAAAATATGTGCAAAAATAGAAAGAGTAACCTAATGACTACCCTTCATGTACCCATCAGCAAAGTTCAACCAAAATGAACGTTGTCAACTTGTTTAATTTATTCCTCCTTCTCCCAACTTTTTGTGCAGGACGGTGTGGCTAGAGTAATCCCAGACAATTTATTATTTCACCTGGGAATACTTGAGCCTGTACATCTATCAGATACAGAAAGAATTTATACAACCTTAACACCATTATCACACCTAAAAAAAAAAAAAAATCACAAAAATTCTTTAATATCTTAGTCCATCTGAAAATTTTCGCAAATCTTAAAAAAAGTACCCTTTTACAGTTAAAGTCAAGATCCAAACAAGGTCTGCACTCTGTGTTTGGTTGATATGTTTCTTTTATGTCTGTGTTTGATTATATGTTTCTGTTTTTAATCTATAACAGTTCTTCCTTTTCCCTGTTTCTTCCATGTCATCTACTTGTGAATAAAACAGGTTACCTTGTAGCATATCCTACATTTTGGAGGCGTCATTTAATTCGTTTCTCTAGTCCCTGTGGGGTCAGATCTAGATGTTGACTAAAGTTTTTGCTTTTGTTTTGTTATTGAGAAGGGGCTAGAATCCATCATATGTAATATGATGTACTTATAAATCAAACAGGAGGCACATAATGGAATGGAATGTAAATACTGATCAGCGGATTCAGATGTTCTCCATTTGTAATGGAGAGATTCACATCTCTCCGTTACAAAATCCTCCATCAACTTTTCACCTAAGAATTTTAGCATTTACTAATAGTTCTTGCCTAAATACATTATTTCATGAGGCGTTGCAAAATGCTGACTTTCCCATTTTATCATCTGTTGCGCATTTATTAATTTCTTCTATTGTTTACTGTGAAATACTGCTCATTCGGGAAAGGTAAAACCAAATGGTTGATATTTCTTATTATTTAACAACAACAACAGAAAAACAAGTTAGTGCCTTAGGAGTTTTTTTTTTTTGTATAATTATGAACTCATAGATTTTTATGTACCTGATGTGCTTCAATCCATTGCAATCATCTTTTTGGTGTTCACACTGTCCTAGCTGTGGCCAGTGGGAACCCCTGGAAGCAGGCTCTGGTGTTCTTCTGACATATCCATTAAAGCTTATTAGCGTCCTTCTTTGTACAATAAGATGCCCCAATCTCATCTTGTATATGCTGCTCCACACTTGGAATCAACCATTCTTCCCAGGATCCCAGGTTCCCTTTACTGAGAAAGAGCGCTCAGAGGCCACAGGCAGGGTACTAGAGTGCTTATGGTTCCTGGGGTGTCACTGCTTCTAGGTCTTTTCAGTGGATAAAGTTAGGAAATTTTTATATTTTAGAGAGAATAAAACTAAGTTCTCTCACCACTTTCAGATGCCATTCCATTTTCTAGCTTGCATTATTTTTATTGAGAACTCATTGGAAAACTTTATCCTTGTTCCCCTGTATGTAACATGTCTTTTTTTCTCTAGCGGCTTTTAGCATTTTCTCTTTATCATTGTGATTTTTTTGCGATTTGATTGTGATGTGTCTTTGTGTGTTTTTCTCTGTGTTTATCCTGCTTACTTATAGTTTGTTGAGCATCTTGTATCTGTGGGTTTATAGTTTTCATCAAAGATGTAAAAATTTATTTGGAAATTTGGAAAAAATTATTTCCTTGAATAATTCTTCTCTTCCCCCTCTGTTAGGCTGTTTGACATTGTCCCAAAGGTCACTGAGGCTCTGTTCGTTTTTCAGCCATTTTTCTCTCTGTGCTTCATTTTGGATAGTTTGTATTGCTATGTCTTTAAGTTCAGTGAACTTTTATTCTGCAATTTCTAATCTACTGTTAAGTCTATCCATTGAATTTTTCACTTCAGGTATAATCCTTTTCAACTCTATTAAGTTCTCTTTTTATTTTAAAAGTTTTGATGGAAGTAGACTATATGTGCAGAAAGTTCCAATAACATTTAAACTTGGTTCTTTTTTATTTCTCACATTTTCTCCACATTATGTTGATATTTTCTTTTATATTTTTGATACTTATCATGGCTGCTTTAAAGTCCATGTCTGCCAGTTGTATCACGTCTGTTATTTCTGGCTCTGTTTATATTGACTAACTCTCTCCTGGTTACGGTCATACTTTCCTGCTTCTTCCTATGTCTTCTAATTTTTCACTGGATGGTGCAAATCCTGAGTATTATGTTGCTGAAAGTCTGGATTTTGTTGTCTTCCTCTAAAGAATCTGGCAGTAATTTAATTTCCTGTGAACAGCTTGATCCTTGTGAGGCCTGTGTTTAAGCTTCATTAGCGCAGAACTCGAGTAGCCTTTATTTAGGGCCAATTTCACCCTGCTCCTAAGATGTGGTCTTTCTGGGGTCTTTACTGAATGCCTCAAGTGTTCAATGATATCTCTCTACTCTGGTTGGTTGGAACTCAAACAACTATGTAAGCTCAGGTAGTTGTTGCACTTTCAAAACTCCAGGAGTTGTTCTTTCCCAGGTAGTTGTTCTTTGCTGGTCTTGTGAAATCTCATTCTACACAAATACAGCTTAGTTTTCAGCCAAAGACTCAAGAGATCTGTCTTCAGATTTACTGACTCTTTCTCTGCACAATTCCTCCTCTCTGGTGTTTTGCTCAGCAAATTCCGGCCTCCCTAAACTCCAATCTCTACCTTCTTACTCTCAGCAAGACTGCCTTGCTCTGCTTGTATTCTGTACTATAGTTTGGCAAATGTGTTCTAGCAGAAAACCTGGGCGATCATAGGGCTCTCTCGTTTGTTTCCCTTCCCTCAGGAATCAGTCCCATGCTACTTACTAATTCCTGAAAACAGTTGTTTCTTACATTCAGACCAGTTTTCTAGTAGTTTATAGTGGGAGAGCTACTCTATTACCAGTTAGTTCACCATGATCAGGGTGGAAGTTCTCGCTGTAGTAACTTATTTTTATCATACTTTTGTAAAGTATCAATCCACTTCAAACTAGAAATTGAAACAAAACTGCGTCTTTATGGCAGATAGATTGAGAAGTAGGCTATATAACCCTGCACACCATTACAAAGGCTTTAGCTTTTACTGTGGTATTAGAAGTTACTGGAAGGTTTTGAGCAGAAGTGAGGTATGATATATTTTAATAGGATCGTTGGCTCTAGGAAAGTTAAAGCGCCAGAGAGCAAGGGAAGAAGCAGGCAATTTGAAGGCTACTGGACGTTCCAGATGAAAGACAAGAGTTGCTAGGAAATAGGAGTAGCAGTAGAAGTGATAATAAATAGAAAGATCTTGGATAGATTTTGACAGTGATTTTGGATAGATCTGATCTAATAATCTGACAGTTTAGATGGGGGAAGAATCAAGGGTTCTGACCAAGCAACCAGGAGAATGGGATTGCCATTCACTGAGATGGGGAAGATTATGGAAGAAGTACATTTGGTGGCAGAAGATACAGAACTCAGTTTAAAACATGCTAATTATGAAATATGTATTAAATATCCAAAGAAGACACTGATTAGGAGGAAGATAGGCGAGGGAAAAAGGGAAAAGCTCAGGGAAAAGTCTGGGCCAGAAAAATACGTTTGGGAGTTACCTGTATGCAGATGTTACTGAAAGCCATGAGTATGGATGAGATCACCTACAGTGAGCGAACACAGACAGAAAAGAGAAGTGGCCCTTCTGGTATGCTAACATTTACAGGTCAAAGAGATACGGAAAAACCAGCAAAGGAGGCCGAGAAGGAATAGGAGGAAAACCAGAACACAGTATCTGGAGGCAAGTGCAGAAAGTGTTTCACATAGAAGGGAGTGATCATCTACAACAAATGCCACTGATAGGTCAAGCCAGATAAGTCCTGAGAATTCACCACTGGATTTAGCATGTGGAAGTCACTGGTCTCCTTGACAGGAGTGGTTTTGGTAGAGTAATGGGCAGTGAAAATCTGACCAGGGTGTGTTCCAAAGGAAATGGGAGAAGAGAAACTGGAAACATTTACTTCGGAGGCAACAGTCCATTAAACTCCATTTTACTGTTACATGAAGGCTGCTATTCAGAACTACAGTTGTTTGCCAGATAATTAGGGATGGAAGCCAAAATGAGAAGCATTAACAATAGCTGCCTATGGTAAATAAGGAATTTACATGTCCATGAATTTTCTGACAATTTTGTTTGGGGCATGGATGTTATATCATTCTACTCACATTCAAAACTGTACCTGTTTTCCCAGATTTACTTTTTGAATTTAAACTCTTTCCTTTTTTGATTATGCATATATGCATAAAATGTGCTGCAATGTGTACATGCAACACATATACAACCCCCAACTTACAAATAGATTTTGCTTTAGAAATCTTTTTTTCTAAAGCAG